ATTAATCTAGACACAGACCTTACACCTTTCACAAAAAAAAATTAACTCAAAATGGATCATAGGTCTAAATATAAAATGGAAAACTATAAAACTCTTAGAAGATAACAGAGAAGAAAACCCAGATGACCTTGGATATAGAGATACATTTTTAGGTACCGAACCAAAGGCACAATCCATGAAAGCAATAATTGATAAGTTGGGCTTTATTAAATTAAAATTTTCTGCTTTCCAAAAACACTGTCAAGAGAATGAGAAGATAAGCCACAGATTGAGAGGAAATATTTGCAAAAGACACATCTGATAAAGGACCATTGTCCAAAATATACAAAGAACTCTTAAAACTCAACAAGAACACAACTAAATGTTCTTTAATCATAAAAAAACCCTCAACAATAATAAAACAAACAACCTGATTAAAAACTATGCCAGGGCTTCCCCGGTGGCACAGTGGTTAAGAATCCACTTGCCAATGCAGGGGACACGGGTTCGAGCCCTGGTCCAGGAAGATCCCACATGCCGTGGAGCAACTAAGCCCGTGCGCCACAACTACTAAGCCTGCGATCTAGAACCCGAGTGCCACAACTACTGAGTCCACGCACCAAAACTACTGAAGCCTGCGTGCCTAGAGCCCATGCTGTGCAACAAGAGAAGCCACCACAACGAGAAGCCCGCACACCGCAACTAAGAGTAGACCCCGCTCGCCGCAACTAGACAAAGCCCGCACACAGCAACGAAGACCCAACGCAGCCAAAAATAAATTAATTAATTAAAAAAAATAGGCCGAAGACCTTAACAGACACCCCACCAAAGAAGATATGTTGATGGCAAATAAGCATTTGAAAAGATGCTCCACTCGTATGTCATAAGGGAAATGCAAATTAAAACAATGATGAGATACCACTACACACCGATTAGAATGGTCATTGAAACACTGACAATACCAATTGCTGGCAAGGATGCGGTGCAATAGGAACTCTCATTCATTGCTGGTGGGAATGCAAAATGGTACAGCCACTTTGGAAGACAGTTTGGTAGTTTCTTACAAAACTAAACATACTCTTACCATATAATCCAGCAATCTCACTCCTTGGTATGTATCCAAAGAAGTTGAAACTTATGTCCACACAAAAACTTGCACACAGATGTTTATAGCAGCTTTACTCATAATTGCCAAAACTTGGAGGCAACCAAGGTATCCTCCAATAGGTGAATGTATAAACAAACTGTGGCACATCCAGACAATGGAATGTTATTCAGCACTAGAAGGAAATGAGCTATCAAACCAGGAAAAGACATGAAGGATCTAAGGATCCTTCCCTAATGCATCCCTAATGCATGTTAATAAAATAAAGACGCCAATCTGAAAAGGCTACGTACTGTATAATTCCAACTCTATGACTTTCTGCAAAATGCAAAACCATGGAGACAGTAAAAAGATCACTGGTTGCCGGTGGTTGAGAGTGGGTGATGAGAGGAGGGATGAATAGTTGCAGCACAGAGGTTTTTAAGGGCAGTGGAAATATTCTATATGATACTGTAATGATGGATACATGTCATTACCATTTGCCCCAATCCATAGAATGTACAAGACCAAGAATGAACCGTAATGGGAAGTCTGGATCTTGGGTGATTGTGATGTGGCCATGTACACTCATCAATTGTAACAAGTGTACCACTCTGGTGGGAGATGTTTTTAATGGGGGAGGCTATGCATTTGTGGGGGAAGAGGGTGTATGGAAAAAAAATCTCTGTACCTTCCTTTTAATTTTGCTTTAAACCTCAAACTGCTCTAAAAAAAAAAAAATTAAAAAAAAATTACCAATTCCCTATACAAGCAATTTTCTCCAATCTTGAAAGCAGAAGCTGTGCTCATTTCATTTCATATCTCTTCCTCCAACACCATTTCCATCACCCTCTCAATACTTGGCACAGTTCATTATTTAGAGTATTTTGGAGGAATTAAATAATTTCACTTTGGAGGAAGACAGTTCTGTATGGAAGAGAATGTACTGATTGGACATAAACTCTTATTGGTAAACCACAATGCCAACTAAAAGTTTATAATCTGTCTCTCGTCAATTTCACCAACACAACTCACCTCTTAAGCCCTACCTAATCAGTTAACTAGGCTTGCTCCTTGTCCATTTTTAAATGAAATTCAATTATTAATTTCTATTGAACAATTAATTCATAAGAATGTCTTATGAAAACAACAATGAACTTTGCTGTTTAATACCATACCCCAAAGTTCTTTGAACATATGTCCTTATTTAGTACTGTCTCTTCAGAAACTTCATTTCATGCTTTTAAGTCTGTCGTCAATGCGAAGTAATTTTTTTTGGATCAAGTACTTTTTTTTTTTCTTTTGGCCACACCCCATGGCTTGCGGGATCCTAGTTTCCCAACCAGAGATTTAACCTGGGCCCACAGCAGTGAAAGCGCGGAGTCCTAACCACTGAACCACCAGGAAACTCCTTGGATCAAGTACTCTTGAATACTTGCAGAAATTAAATTGATTCTACCATACCATAGCGTCATGTTTATTATACTTATTGCTAATAATCAATAATAAGTCAGAATATGCTCTAAACAATAGCGAGGAAGATAAATAGGTCATTATAGTTGACAAAGGCAGAGCTGAAGAAAAAGGAAGAACCAGGTTACTAAGAGGGGGAAGTGAGTGTCTATGTCACAATTCAAACCAAGGGAAAAAAAAAAACAAAACCCACTACCTTATACAGCAACTGCCCACAATTCAGCCCCAAACTCTCCCCAGTGCCAACAGACACCCCACCAAAGACATTAAATGGAAAGTTCCAGGAATAATTCATAAGTTTAAAACTGCATGCTGCTTTGAGTAGCATGATGAAATCTTGTGTCATCCCGCTCCGTCCCACCTGGGGAGTGACATGCTAGACTAATTCTGATAGTAAGCAGCACAGAGAAAAACCTCTGGGTTTATACAGAGAGACCCTCTCCAGTGTTTTCGTAACTGGGCTTCTTCCAGGATTAGAGCCAAAAGAGACTCTCTCTCCTTGCTGAGCATCTGAGTGCTCCCCTGAAATGATCACCCACCACTGAAGCAGAAGCTCCTCTCGGACACCTGCCCTTACTGTGCTGCCTTGGGCAGGAACACAAATATTCTCCTCACTCACTGTTTACCTTTTTTTTTTTTTTTTGCGGCACGCGGGCCTCTCACCGCGGTGGCCGCTCCCGTTGCGGAGCACAGGCTCCGGACGCGCAGGCTCAGCGGCCATGGCCCATCCCGCGGCATGCGGGATCTTCCCGGACCGGGGCACGAACCCGTGTCCCCTGCATCGGCAGGTGGACCCTCAACCACTGCGCCACCAGGGAAGCCCTGTTTACCCTTCTTTAACACCCAGCAGAGACTTGGCACTATTAAGCTACCTATTTCCTCTTATTATCAACACTAGGACGAACAGGTCAAGTGAGAGAACAATTGCAATGTAGTGTAGTTGACTGGGCAGAGGATTAGAAGTCAAAAGAGTGAAATCTGAGTCCCACCTCTGGAACATGAAGAGTTGTTTAGACGTTTGAACTGGTCATTTAACTTCTGTACATCTCAATTTCAGTATTTAACTGGAGGTCATAATACCCAGCTCAAAGAATTTTTGGGATAAAGAAATCAGATAATGCAAGTGGAAAGAAACCTGATAAACTGTAAAGCCCTAGCAAACAGTCATTTATTCAGTCATTTATGCATTTTTCATCAACTGTTTATTGAATACCTACTGCATGCTAGCTACAGTTCTAGGCACAAGCTATATGAACGTCGCTAAGACAATGTCCCTCTCCTCATAGGGCTTAAAATTTAATGTAGAAGGCCTGTGAGAGGTTAATTTTATGAGCCAGCCTGGCTGGGCCATCATACCTAGATATTTGGTCAAGCATTATTCTGGATGTTTCTGTGAGGGTGTTTTGTTGTTGTTTTGTTTTGTTTTTCCTCCGGCTGACAGCTTTATTGCTGTGGGGAAGGGGACAGATGACTCAGGAGCTCTTGGTGGGATGGGTCCGCTTCCTCGGCACCACCACAGGCTTCTGGCTGCGCAGGACGTTGCTGGCTCTGCAGAGGGCGGCCGTGCGCAAATCCGGGCGCTACTTGTTGTTTCGGATTATGTGCCAGATGCTGGTGAGGGTGGCCCGGGCGTTCTTGTTGATGCTGGTCCGCACGTAGGAAGTGGCCAGCTTTCGCGGGCTGGATCTCTGCTTCGTGACCGCCACGACCCCTTTGCCGGCCGCCGCCGGCTCCACGCCCACAGTCTTGCGGTGAATGAGCTCATTGTAGCGGAAGAAGTTGCGGGCCTTCAGGTTATTGGGCTCGGTGCCGTACATCTGCCTCTTCCTCTTGATCAAGAAGCTGGAGCAGTTCTGCACGACCACCCATGGCAGATGCGCGGACATGGTGGCACCTCCTCTCGTTGCGACGGCCGGAGATGGAAAGAGGGGGGTGTTTGGGGATGAGATTTACATTTAAGTGATGGATTTCGAGTACAGCTGGTTGTCTTCCATAATGTGGGTAGGCCTTGTCTAATCAGTTGAAGACCTAAAAAGAACAGAGGAGGGACACCTTCCTCCCCACCCCAACCCGGTCCCCCGCAAGAAGAATTCTACCAGCAGACTGTTTCGGACTTCAGCTGCAACGCCAGCTTTTCTGAGGCTCTAGCTTGATGGCCTTTGTACTTGAACTGCAGCAATGGTCTTCCTCGGTCTCCAGCCTGCCAGCCCACCCTGCAGATTTTGGACTTGCCAACTTCTATAATCACATGAATAAATCCCTCAGAAAAAATCTTTTTCTACATACATGTGTCCCCTGCTTTTCGAAAATACACTTTATGCCACTTCACTTTCATGAAAGATATACAAACATTAGTACCTGTTTTCAGTAACCAAAAGAAATCGGAAGAGGATTTGCACTTTCAGGGAAAAAGGTGAAAAGTGAAAACAGCATTAAGTAAGCATTTGTTTTGCAAGAGCCTTTATAGAGACAGCAGCCAGCCCCAGCTTTGAGAGTGGCACTGCAAGTTCCTTCCCCAGGATTTACACTCAGCATTTCAGCGTCAAGCTGCCATAGCTTTGAACTACGATTCTGAGCATCTCTGCTTTGTCTTGATTTATTTTGTGCACCCGTTAGCAAGATGTGTCCTAAGGTAATTGCCTCTTTGTTTTATGCCATTTCAGCTTAAGAAAGGTTTCATAGGAAGGCTGTACTTCCGGATAACTGGGAAAACCTGTATTTACACATTCTATTGGTTCTGTTTCTTTGCAGAACCCTGACTAATACAGATTTTGGTACCAAGAAGTGGGGTGCTGCTATAACAAATACCTAAAAATGTGGGTAGAGGCTGGAGGAGTTTTGAGACACACGCTAGAAAAAGCCTAGATCACCAGGAAGAAATTGTTGGTAGGAATATGAATGATAAAGGTGATTCTGGTGAAGTCTCAGATGGAAATGAGGAGCATGTTATTGAAAATTTGGGGAAAGTTGATCCTTGTTATCAAGTACCAAAGAACCTGGTGGAATTGTGTTTTAGTGTTTTGTGGAAAGTAAACTTTGTGATAAAATAGGATATTTAGCTGAGGAGATTTCTAAGCAAACTGTTAAAGGTATGATTTCCCCTTGCTGCTTATAGTAATGTGAGAGGAGAGAAACAAATTGAAGGTGGAATTGTTAGGCAAAAAGGAACCAGAAATTGAGGATTTGGAAAATCCTCAGCCTATCCATATGGCAAAAAACAAGAAAGCTTTCTCTGGAGAGGACACCGTGGGTACAGCCGGAAAATCATTTGATAAAGGGATTAGGAGTGAAATTCCTGGGTTTAATCAGCCATCTCAGTGGAATCTAGCAATAAAGTTGGTGTCACACCAGCAGAAACACTGCCAGACTAGACTAAAAGGTGAAGAGATAAGACAAATTGAAGGAAGGCTATCAGACTTCTGAGATTCCACAGGATAGGGCAATCGATCTATCAACATGTGTTATCCTTTAAGGGAAGAATGACCCTGATTCATGATGGTATCATGGGAATAATATCAGAGAGCTGCCACTCCCACCACAGACCCAGAGCACACAGGCCATTAGGGCAAGGCTCTCTCCTCCTCAGTTTCAGTGGGTTCAGGCCAGTGGCCAGGGCTGAGGGAGCAACAGGGCCACCTCAGTGGGCCTGGAGGTCAGAGCACTGAGCCAATAAGAATTATTTTTGAGACTTAAAATTTAATGGAATATTGATTTCATGGATATGACAACAAAAGCACAGGCAACAAAACCAAAAATAAACAAATGGGACTACATCAAACTTAAAACTTTTGCTCATCAAAGGACACAGTAACAGAGTGAAAAGGCAACATATGGAATGGGAGAAAATATTTGCAAATCATATATCGGATAAGGGGTTAATATCCAGATTATATAAAGAACTCATCAACAAAATAATCAAACTGATTAGAAAATGGGCCAAGGACACGAACAGACGTTTCTTCACAGATGATATAAAAATGGCCAACAAGCATATGAAAAGATGCTAAACATCATTAATCATCAGAGGAATGCAAATTAAAACCACAGTGAGACGTCTCTCTTCACCCTCATTAAGATGAAAAAAAAAAAGAAAGATAAGCTACCATCAAAAAAAAAAGAAAAGGAAAGCTACCATCAAGAAAAAGAAAGAAGGGGCTTCCCTGGTGGCGCAGTGGTTGAGAGTCCGCCTGCCGATGCAGGGGACGCGGGTTCGTGCCCCGGTCCGGGAAGATCCCACGTGCCGCGGAGTGGCTGGGCCCATGAGCCATGGCCGCTGGGCCTGCGCGTCCAGAGCCTGTACTCCGCAACGGAAGAGGCCACACAGTGAGAGGCTCGCGTAACGCAAAAAAAAAAAAAAAGAAAGAAAACCAGAAAATAACAAGTGTTGGTGAGGATGTGGAGAAATTGGAACTATTGTGCACCATCGGTGGAATTATAAAATAGTGCAACTGCTATGGAAAACAGTATGTCGGTTCCTCAAAAAATTAAAAACTTCTAGGTACTGAAAGTATTGAAAGCAAGGGCTCAAAGAGGTATCTGCACACCCATGTTCACAGCAGCACTATTCACAATAGCCAAAGGTGAAGCAACCCAAGTGTCCATCAGTGGATGCATGGATAAATGAACTGTGGTGTATGCACACAATGGAATAGTATTCAGTCTTAAAAAAGAAGGAAATCTTGTCACATCCTACAACAGGATGAACCTTGAGGGTATTATGCTAACTGAGCTAAATTAGTCAAAAAACACACTGTATGATTCCACTAAAGTCATCAAACTCATAGAAAGTTGCATTGCATGGTGGTTGCCTCTAGCTGGTGACAGGAAGAAAAGGGGACCTGTGGTTTAATGGGTACAGAGTTTCAGGTTTTTGTTTTTGTTTTTGTTTAATTTTGTTGAAGTATAGTTGACTAACAACGGTGTGTTAGTTTCAGGTGCAGAGTTTCAGTTTTGCAAGATGAAAAAGTTCTGGAGATCTGTTTCACAACAATATGAATATACTTAACATTACTGAACTGTACAATTAAAAGTGGTTAGGATGGTGAAATTTATGTTATGTGTTTGTTACCACAATAAGAAACAAAAGGGAAAAAAATCTAATGGAATTTACCTTGCCAAGTTTTGGACTTGTTTGGGCCTCTTCACCCCTTCCTTCTTTCCGATTTCTCCCATTTTGGAAAGGGATTGTCTATCCTATGTCTGTCCTACCACCGCATTTTGGAAGCACATAACGTGTCTGCTTTCAGAGGTTCACAGCTGGAGAGGAATTTTGCCTCAGGTTGAATCATACCTCGAGTCTCACTCACACCTGATTTGGATGACATACATTCAGGTGAGACTTTGTAGTTGGAATGGATACTGGAATGGGTTAAGCCTTTGGGGGCTGTTAGGGGGAAGGTAATTGTACTTTACATGTGAGAAGGACATGAATTTGGGGGGGCCAGAGGGTGGGGTGTTACAGACTGAACTGTGTCCTCCTAAAATTCACATGTTGAACCCCTAACCTCCAGTACCTTAGAATGTGACTGTCTTTGGAGACAGGGCCTTTGAGGAAGTGATTAAGTTTAAGCGAAGTCATAAGAATGTGATGTAATCCAACGTGACTAGTGTTCTTATAAGAAGAGAAAGAGACACCAGGGGTGTGCACACAGAGGACAGGCCTTTTAAGGACACAGCAAGGAGGCAGCCGCCTGCACGGAGACAGGTCTCAGGAGAAACCAGCCCTGATCTTGGTCTTCCAGCCTCCAGACCTATGAGAACATAAATCTCTGCTATTTAAGCCACCCAGGGACTTCCTGGAGGTCAAGTGGTTAAGACTCCACACTCCCAAAGCAGGGGGCACAGGTTCAATCCCTGGTCGGGGAACCAAGATTCCCGCATGCTGCCGTGGGGAGTGGCCAAAAAAAAAAAGCCACCCAGTCTGTGGTATTTTGTTATGGTAGCCCTAGCAGACTACTACAACAGACAACAAACAAACAAACAAATGCATAATGTCAAGTAATGATAAGGGAGCACTTGGAAGAATATATGAGCAAGGTACGGTAATAAAGAGCTGGGGAGGAGGGTTATTTAAGGCAGGGTGCTGAGGGTAGATCTCAGCAGAGATGACGTTTGAACAGAAACCTGAATGACGTGAGGGAGCAATTCTTGGGAGCGTTTGTGAGAAGACTGTTCCAAACGGAAGGCATTCCAAACACAAAGACGCCAAGCGAAGGATGTGCTCTTGGCCTGGTGCCAAAAGACTGAGGTGCAGGAGTGCGGTGAACCAGGGGCAGAGAGGATGGAAAAACTGTTGGAGAGAGAGAAGTAGGAGTCTGATCACGCAGGGGCATGGTAAGTGGTGGCTTGGATCCTGGATTGTACTTTAAATGCGACAGGAAGCCAGGAAGCTGCAAAGCCATTTTAGGTTTGGGGGTGAAGGAGTAACCTTAGTCGACTTATGTTTTTAAAAAGGTATTTGCTGTTGAATGGAGAAGATGAGAGAGGACAGCAAGAGTGCAAACAGAGACCAACTAGGAGGCCACTGGTCCAGGTGAGAAATGATGAGGGCTTGGACGACGGTGGTAGTAGTGGCAGTAGTGAGTCGTTGTATTTGAAATATATTTTCGAGATACAACCAACAGGAGTAACTAACTGGATGTGGGGCGTGAGGGAAAAAAAAAGGAGTCAAGAATGATCCTAAGGGTTTTGGCCTGGGTAACCGGAGTTGCCATTTACTTCAGTCAGGAAAACAGAGAGAGGAGGGGTCAAATCAAGAGTTTTGTTTTAGACATGCGAAGTCTGAGATATTGTTAGGATACTCACTAATAATAGTGCACTAATAATAGAACACTCTCCTTGTTTTCCCCGGATTCTGGCAATATACAGGTACAAAAGATATGGTTCTTGCCTTTACGGTCTCATGGAAGGGGGTGGAGAGTGACATATAAACCAATTTTTTTAATTAATAGGTTTTATTTGGGGGGAGCAGTTTCATGTTTACAGAAAAATTGCTTAGAAAGTACCCATATACTTCCTCACCTACCGTATTATTAACGTCTTGCATTAGTATATGTACATTTGTTACAACTGATGAACATTTATTGACATAGCCTAGTCACCCGAAGTCCATAGTTTACATTAGGGTTCGCTCTTGGTCTTGAACATTTTACAAATTTGGACCAGTCACCCATCATTACAGCATCATATGGAATAGTTCCACTGCCCTGAAAAACCTCCAGCTGTTCATCCCTGCCCCCCCCCCCCCCCCCCCCCCCCCCTCCCCCCGCAACTAGCGATCATTTTACTCTCTACACAGTTTCGCCTTTTGCAGAACGTCATATAGTTGGAATCATACAGTATGTCGCCTTTTCAGACTGGCTACTTTCACTTACTAATGTGCATTTTAGGGTCCTCTATGCCTTTTCATGGCTTGATAGCTCATTTCTTTTTAGCGCTGAATAATATTCCATTGTCCGGGTATACCATATTTTATCTCTTCACCCACTGAAGGACATCTCGGTTGCTTCCAAGTTTTGGCAGCTATGAATAAAGCTGTTACAAATACTCACGTGCAGGTTTTTGTGTAGACGCAGCTTTTCAACTCATTTGGATAAATACCAAGGAATGTGATTGCTGGATTGTAAGCAAGTATTTTAAATGTCAATTTCTATACAAGGGCCAACAGGGAACACAGACTATTGCTTGCAGGAAGCAAAGAGCTTTCTTTGAGGTCCTTAAGTTTACTCTAGCAATGTTCTAAAACTATAAATGTCCTTCCTTCTCTGTATTACTATTAGTCTGACACTATCACCAGGATACCCCTGCCCGGCTCATTTACAGGAAGGCAGCCACTGAACAGCGATAACTGAAGTGCTCATGCTGACTCACATCCACCTTTTCAAAAAACCGTAAGCAAGTGCCAATCTATTGATGACGGAGGAAGCAAAGCTGCTTTTCAGTACGTTTCATAATTAAATGTCTACGTTCTTTAAGCAGTGGTCTTCCCTAACTTTGGGGAGCCCAACTCTGCCGAAAAAAATCCATCAAGTTCTATACGAAGAAAAAAGCTACTGAAGCTCTAGGGTGGTGTTTATTCATATGGGGTTCTAAGATGGACCAGGCAGGTATACAAACCCCCTAAAAGTAAATGCAAACATTGTATTTCAGTGTACTTTTCTGAGGGGTAGGGGGACCGTAATAAGCTCTTATCACAGTCCCCCAAAAAGTGCAAGATCAGAAAACAGCCAAAGGAGCTGCCAAACCTTGGGTGTGTACGAAGGGGGAGGAGAAGAATCTGACCTCCCCTGGGTCATCAGATGAACAATAGTGTGGAGACCTCCGGCATTGTCTGCTTTCTCAGTGGTTCACCGCCCACTCTTAGAGAAGGTCTGGGCTCTAATTCCCTCCTAGCAGGGGGGAGGGCAAGAGTCCAATGCCCTCCTGGAGTGTAGGAATAGCCCTCCCTATTACTAAGGTACTTTAGCAAGAAGTAAAACCAATCCTCAGAACCCGGCGTAGTCTGAACAGGCTAAAAATCTTCACCTTTACGCATACACTTGGCCATGGTAATATTTTAGCATTGCCTTTAGCAACTCAAAGCGGAAGAGCTGTGGAACAGTAAAGGCAAAGGTCTCTCGAGCTAAACTTTGAATCGTGAGATCTCCTCATTAAAACTGCCCACACTACATGCAGACGGCAGATTTTGTCCAGTGCCAAGCAGGTGCCACACAGGGCTCTGGCCACTGTACTTGTAATCATTCTATGTCTCCCACATATGCTTCCTTTACAAGCGCCATGTGGTCTTTCTGTGTAGTGAAAAATCGGCTTCCCTAATTTACACAGCTTTCCTACCAATCATTGAGGCCATTCGGACTTCTTGTTTTCAGCCTCAAATTGAATCAGGCAGTCACAGAAATATTTGGATGAGGCGGGCCCAGAAACCCAAGAATCTCTTCTGGTCTGTGTCTACCCAGTAGGTGAGCCCCGCCTGCCCGCGTTTTTTTTTTTTAGGAGGCTGCTACGTAAGAGGGTGCAGACGTGCTTCATAGACCGTAGGCCGTCAGGCAAATCTCCGTGGCGACCAGTTCCATCACTCAAAGCTGACCAAAGTCTCCCCACCCTTTATACTTCTGCTTCTCCCCTCCTCCAACGGAATTTATTTCGTGCTAATGCTACCCAGGGATGCAGGCAGTATCTTTATCTCCACTGTTGTGCTGTTTTTCCTCATCCTCTTTGCCTCTCCTTCTCCATTGGACATGAATCTGCACAGTCCCATGGTGTAAAGCCCTGAGTACTTCTTCCATGGTGGGATGCAGATTTATTGAATGAATGTGTACTTATTTCAAAAATGTGTGCAACGAACGAGTGTTTACTTTGATGGTGTGACCCTATAATCCTATAACTGTTTAAGTGTTCACATGGGGGGGGGAAGTTACTTTGATTACAATCACAGTCTAAATTCTTTAAATATTAAGTTCCAGGTGGACTTTTTAATCCAACTTAATTCCAATTAGACATAAATGGCTGTTTTAAGCTACTTGTAAATAAACAAGTTTATACATGCTTTTACAAAATTAAGAGGAGCAAGATAATCCATTAAATTTCATACTCTTGACGAGTGGCCCTTTAAGAGCTTTGAGTCTTAGCTTGATATTCTCAGGCCAGCTTCCTCTGGATACTGTTAATAAGCAGACACAGATCAACATACTGATAGCGAGAACGAGGAAGAAAGACAAATGGCCTGAAAAGCCCACAATGGGATATAGATCTGGGTTAATTCATTTATGCATTTGTTTACCTCTGCTATGTTGCCAGGCCCAGTTTTAGATACTGGGGATATTGTGGTGGTAAGAGAATGCCAGTCCCTGCTCTCGTGGAGCTTAAATTCAAGTGGATGGGGGTTATGTACACGTTTTTACTTTCTTTAAAAAATTTATTTTTGGCTGCGTTGGGTCTTCGTTGCTGCATGTGAGCTTTCTCTAGTTGTGGCGAGCGGGGGCTACTCTTCGTTGTGGTGCGCGGGCTTCTCATTGCAGTGGCTTCTCTTGTTGTGGTACACGGGCTCTAGGTGCGCGGGCTTCAGTAGTTGTGGCTCGTGGGCTCTAGAGCGCAGGCTCAGTAGTTGTGGTGCACGGGCTTAGTTGCTCTGCGGCATGTGGGATCTTCCTGGACCAGGGCTCCAACCTGTGTCCCCTTCATTGGCAGGTGGATTCTTAATCACAGAGCCACCAGGGAAGCCCCGTTTTTACTTTTTATTTCTATTAAAAATTTTTTTTGGGGGGAGGGTTCCCTGGCGGTCTAGTGGTTAGGATTCAGCGCTTTCACTGCTGTGACCCAGGTTCAATCCCTGGTCGGAAAACTGAAATCTCACAAGCTGCTCAGTGCAGCCAAAAAAAACAAAAAACAAAAAAACCACAAAATCCTTTAAAGCAAGTGTAGCTAAGAGCATGGATTCTGGAGCCAGGCATCCTGGGTTCCAATCCTAGCTCTGACACTTGCATTGTGTGATTTGGGGAAGGTCATTCAGCCTCACTGTGCTTCTATTTCCTCACCTGTAAAATGAAGGTCATTATAGAGTCTACTTCATAAGATTCATTATGAGAATAAAATCATTTAATATGAGTAAAGTACTTAGAATAGTGCCAGTATATATTAAGTGTCACCTAAGTGTTTGTCAAATTAAAAAAAAAAAGAAACAAATGTATCTATTTAATTTCATAGCAGAATACATATGCTCAGAGCTATAGAAGCTACTGCAGGTCATGAATTAAAGCCTAGATCCCCATTTTTTCCAAGAACCTAAAGACTTTCCAAAGATTCTCCAGTTACATGGGAGAAGTTCAAACAAATCATCACAGAACTATTCTCCTCTATAGTAGTAGTAAGAGGTTCTTGATAAACTGAAGGTGTTTTTATTACATGCCTGGTCCTTATCAGGTTACATCATTTACAATTCACAACAATAGTTTAAATTTATTATTATCATCCTCATTTGCCATGAGAAATCTATAAGTAATTTGCTCAAGGACCCACGATTTGGGGCAGAACTAGCTGTCTGACTGTACTATAGTATATTCCTGTAGATTAAGAGACAGATACAGCCAATGTAGGTTCAGAAAAAACTCTCTAGGATAGCCAGTGTTTTCCTGTTCTCACTCCCCACCCTTTTCCTCCTAGAAATGGGGCCTATTCCTCCTCCCTTCTTAAACAGCTGATCATAAACAGGAAGCATAGCTGGGTGCAGTAAGTCTGGGGCTGAGGATAAGTGGCTGTAGACAGACATCCTCCTAGGTGGAGCCTACCTGAGGGAAGAAGCACTCCTGCTATTTATCAGGGTTGTCTTTGTCAACAAGAAACACCAAAAGGAAAAAAAAAAAAAGAAGGGTATCCTTCAGGAATAATGGATTTGGGGAGCCCAGTGCCTGCTTTTGTACCACCCATAAACTAAGAACATTTTTACATTTTTGTAAAAAAATAAAAATAAACTATATTTCGTTGAGTTGTAAAAACTATATAAAATTCAAATTTCAGTGTCCATAGGTAAAGTTTTACTGTACACAGCCATGCTCATTCATTTATACAAGGGCAGAGCTGAGTAGTTATGACAGAGACTCTATGGCCTGCAAAGCCTAAGATATTTAGTATCCCATGCTTTACAGTGACGTTTGCCAACTTCCGAGTTAGGCAGTTGATGAGTCAAGTGGAATAGGGCCATAAAGTTGTAAAAACCCATAGTATAGGGTTATACTAGGCCCAAGTCAGGGGAAAGAATGGGATGGGGCAGTGCAGCAGGAGGAGAGGGTGAAGAGAGAGAGAATGGAATACATCTGGGTGGGATACAGACATCCCGAGAAGCAAAAAACCTCTGAGGACTTCCTGTTAGAGAATGCAACAAAGTGGGCCCACCAAGATGGAGATGCAAAAGGCCGGAGACTAAGCAACAGGAAATTCTCCAAATTTCTCTCACACCACGTAATAGGGACTGAGAAAAACACTTACCAAGGTTGAGTATGACCTCCCAAACTGGTTCCCTAGGTTCACCCAGGGCCGATAGGTTCACCTGTTCTTTTTACTTATCTATATAGAAACACAGTATAGATATTATTGGGCTGGCAAAAAACTTTGCTCGGGATTTTTCATAAGAGCTTATGGAAAAACCGGAACAAACTTTTTGGCCAACGCAGTATCACACCTAAATCCCTAAGCAGCTACTTTGAACATAGCACTTCCCTCCAAATATTTTTTCCATTTTATCGAGATATAAGTGACATACTGCCCTGTATAAGTTTAAGGTGTACGCCATAATGACTTGACTTGTGTACGTCATGAAATGATTATCACAGTAAGTTTTGTGAACATCGATCATCTCAAATAGACAAAAAAAATTTTAAATAGAAAAAAAAAAGTTTTGTGATGAGAACTCTTAGGATTTAGTCTTGTACCAACTTTCATATGTAACATACAGTACTGTTAATTATATTTATCATGTTGTACATTACGTCCTGGTACTTACTTATCTCATAACTGGGAGTTTGTACCTTTTGACCACCTTCATCCAGGTCCTCCTCCCTTCACTCCCTGCCTCTGGTAACCACAAGTCTCTTTTTCTATAATTTGTTTGTTTTTGAAATATAATTGACCTAGACTGCCCTCTTTTAAGGAGGGGAAAACTCAGGACTGGATTAAAGAAGTGGCTAATCGAGTGGCTAACTTAGTGGGCTGATGGATGATCTCCAGATGCAGTCTTCCTATCTTCCTTAGCTACATGTCATTTTCTGTGACCCCCAAAAAGGTGGCAGTCACACTGCATTTTATATCAGTGCTGAAGATGGTATAGGGAAGAGGGCTGTAAGGACGGCTGAAGTGTGCAGTGATGCACTGCGAGGCTGTTGCCAGGGATTTCTGTGTCTTCTAATATTCCTTTCTACAGTTGGTAAGTGGAAGTCACAAAAGTTGGAAACTGGAGCCAAAATGTTACCACCTCCCTCACCCATTTACCTAATGAAATCATGTGTGAAGAAATGGGATGCGGAGACGAGTAGAGAACAAGGACCTTAGTGGAATCAGGCCCCTCGATAAATCATTATAAACAGAACACATTATTAAACCTAGATCATTAATTTGCTTATTCTACACTTACTGATTTCTATCACTGCTTGCTGCTGAGTCGTATTTTAAAACACACTATGGGAGCCTGTTTTAAAAAATAAAGTCAATCTCTACATAATTTTTTAAAATCCTGCATAATTCTATAATATCAATATAAATGATTGTTCTAATTAATTTCTTTGCAAATTCAAGATTTTAATGTGGCACAATAGGTGTGTTTAAAGTAGAACACGTTGAATTTTCTAATGATTAACTTTCTACAATATGTCGGATGCTGTTTTGAAGACACATATTATTTGCTGATTATGTTTACCCAAAGTCCTAAAAAGTTTACATGAAGGGGCACTACCAAGTTCATAACTAAAATATAATGCACAAACAGAATGTCATGATACATAAATCGCCTCGTTTTTTAAAACGGGGCGCTGGCTTATTTTTCTCCACGGTACAAAAAGAGAAAGATAAACACCAATAGAGGAATGTATTTACATCTCAACTGAAGGGAAAACGAATGAGGCAGGAAAAGAAGAGTCCCAGAATTAGAGTTTTTTCCACTTTCCTGGTTTCTCCTCTCAAGCACTTCTTCAGCCATGGCAGCGCGCCAAACAACTCCCCATTTGCCTGCAGCCTGCTTTTTTTTTTTTTTTTTTTTTTTTTTTTTTGCGGTACGCGGGCCTCTCACTGCTGTGGCCTCTCCCGTGGCTCCGGATGCGCAGGCCCAGCGGCCATGGCTCACGGGCCCAGCCACTCCGCGGCATGTGGGATCCTCCCGGACCGGGGCACGAACCCGTGTCCCCTGCATCGGCAGGCGGACTCTCAACCACTGCGCCACCAGGGAAGCCCCGGAAGCCCCCTCCGTTAATTCGTAACTGCTCTTCCCCTCCCAATCTTGAAGCGTCTTTCTCAGCGACTTATTCGTTCTAAATCACCTCTTCTCTCGGTACCAGCTCTCTCCCTCTCCTGCACTCACATCCCCCCATCCAGTTTCCAATCCCCCTTTCCCCTCACTTGCTCTCTACTCTCCTTCTTCTAAGCCCACCACTCCGCCCCCGCCGGCCTCGCCCCTGCCAACTGGTATCTCTCCCTCCTTGGCCAAAATTGGCCCGATGAAGAGATCAAGAGCTGACACACACGGAAAACACACGTGCGTGCAGTGACCGTCTGGGGCGGGGACGCACGGCCGGGGGCTGGGCAGGATGCTGCGCCGGGGTCGCTGTGCCTTCCCGCACGTCCGCGCCTGCGCCCCGCCCCCGGCCAGATGCTGAGGAGGCCCGGCAGGCGCGCCCGCCCCGGTCTTCGGAGAAAGCTGTAATTTCCTGAATCTGAAGCATCTCTAGGGAGATGCAAAATGTTCCACAAGGGTTCTGCCTCTAGGGCGGGTTTTTGTTCTAGGCAGCTAATCCCAAACCGCCCTTTCAGCGCCACTCGGCAGTGTCCGTCTGCATCCCCCCTGTTCCTCGACCTTACCCCGACTGTTTAGCCTCGGGTCTGGTCTGGTCTTGTTTTCTGTTCTTTTCTCTCCCCTTCTGCCTCCCTTCTCCCCTCTTCTCTTTTCTGTGTATATTGCACATTTCACATTACCACACGGCCTCGGATCTTTACAAAAGCGTCCCGTTCTTTGCGTACCTGCAGCGCCCTGAATTGACTTTTTTTGAAGTCAATTTCATTTACATGCTGGGTGTCCAGGGCGACGACTTTTGACAGATATACGCACCCATGCACCCACCGCCCGACAGATTTGCATCTTACAAAGTGTCCTCAGCACCCTGATTCCTGCTGCACTTCCTGTCATTTTTTAATCATACTGTATAATTTTAGTCTCA